TGGCCCGAGCACAGTCCCCGAGGTGGGATCTGCCCCTGTTTGAGGAGCAGAGTGAGGGAACGAGGGGCAGGAGAGGAGGGCAGGGGTTCTGGGGTCAGGGCAGACTGTAGGGCCTTTTCTAGGATTTCTGGGACTTGGGCTTCTACGCTGAGTGTGAAGGAAGAAATTGCAGGGTTTTGGGCAGAGCCACCCAGTTCGTGTTTGAAGAGCCACTTAGGTGCTCTGTTGAGAATAGACAGCAGCGGGTAGGAGAGGGGGCAGGGGCCAGTCAGGGGCTGTTGCTGAGTTGAGGGTGTCTCTGACCAGGGTGGTGAGAGGCAGTCAGCCTCTGGAAGTGTTTTGAAGTGGCACTAGTGGGGTTTCCTGATTGATGGGCCATGGGGTTGAGAAGGGCGAAGTGAAGGTGGAGTCCCGGGTTCCGGCCTGTGCACCTGGGAGGATGGAGTTGCCATTGAGCTGGGCAGGCTTATGGGTGCAGCAGGTTTGGGGTATGCTCGGGAGGTTAGTTGGGACATGCTTTGTGGGTTTGGGCTGCCTGACCCATATCCACGTGGAGCGCTTGAGCGGCTGGCACATCCCAGTCTGCAGGCCCCACTCAGCGTCTGTCTAGGATCCGGATTCTAGATGATACTAGAAGCCATGAGCCAGGGCAAGAGGGCCTGGGGAGGAGTGCTCAGTGACCCACTGAGCGCCTGCTGCATACCAAGTTCTATGCAGACCCCCAGGGCGGCAGGGAGAAGGGGGAGGTGTACCTGATTATGGGCTGGTGCCCGCCCCGGGTTTGTAGTTGTTTTGAGACAGCCCCTGCCTTGATGAAGCAATTGGAATCTGTCAAGATGGAATTTGGTGCAAAGTTTAGTTGAAAGGTTCAGTCTGAGGGCAGAGGAAGCTGAGAAGGGCAGGGCTATTGGGGTGGAGGGCTGGGAGCGGGCTTCGCTTTGGGAGAGTGGGGAGCTTGTCGTAGGCCTGGAGGGAGCCCAGCCAGGCAGGAGGAACGGTGTGACTGAATGTACAGAGACAAGGGTGAACAGGGAGTGCTGGGGCTTGACTGTGGCCAAAGGGGTGCGGTGGTAGGAAGAGCTGGGGTCTTGGGTTTCATCTCCCAGCTCAGAACTCTGTGGGTTTGGGCAGGATGCCTACTGTTTGAAGGGTTAACTAAGCACGTGCCAAAAAAAAAAAACCCTTGCTGAGCCTCATCTGCAAAATGGGATGGTCACCTCCTTTCCGGGGTTGCGAGGAGAGTGCATTAGGGTCTCATCTTCAGGTCAGGATGTGACGCGCTCAGCCCCCACATGGCACTCAGTAGACTCCGACACACTCACGCTCCGCTTCTGTGGTAGCCTGGGGAGGCTCCCAGCCCTGCCTCAGTGAGCCCCTCCCTGGTGGCCCGGCAAAGAGCAGAGCTTCCTGGGAGACCCTGCTGGCAGTGCTGGGCTGCCTCGATGCCAGGCAGGCAGGTTTGAGAGGCCTGAAGGACCCAGTGCCCTGGCCACCTTTCCTGGCCCTCTTCTATTTTAGGGCTCAATCCAATGGACGAGGAAGCCTTGCCTGGCTCCACCACAGCTAATGACAGCCTGGCCTGCCAGGCCATATAAAAACAGCTCCACTATTTTTATCGACAGGAGGTGGCCGACCCGTCCTCCTCCCCAGCAGTGGTGCTAACGTGGGATGCTGTTAAGGAAACCAGGGCCATGATAGGAAGTGGGCGATTGTCTCAAATCACAGACCTGTGAACCGGCACGATGTGCCTTTGGAACCCTCTGGGTTGGGGGGAGGTCAGGCGTCACCTGTACACAGTGGTCTGAATTTGGAGATAATTCTACCTTTGGAGCTCAGAAAGAGCCACTCCCCCTCTCCACCCCAGAGAATCTTCCTCAGACCTAATCCTCGCCAGGCAGGCAACACCATCCCCAGAGCTGTGGGAGAGGATGGTGGTCTTGTCCGTGGCACAGAGCCAGAGCTGAAGGCATTTCACGCCCACAGCACATTGCCTCCCAGCTCCTTAATTGAAAGTAGTTTGGAATGGCTGTTGCCCAGTGGGACTGTGGGTGATTTCCTTTCCTTCCTTCTGAGAGAATGTTTTGAAGCAAGCTGCAGGCTTTGGGACGGAGCTTGGGGAAGGATAGAAGCAGCTTAAGCGACGGGGCACAGAGTGGCCAGTTGTGTTGCACGCGGACCGTACAGCCTTGCAGACAGGCAGGGTCGCGTGGTATTGGCTGCGGTTTCTATTTAGGTAAAATCTTTTTTTTGTTGTTCACGCCCTAGTCTCTAAGCACATCCTGCCCCCAGTGGCCCCATCCCTTCTACAGCAGACATGGGCCATTCCCACCCTCAAATCCCCAGAAGCCCTCACTGGCGTCTGTCTGCAGGGCCAGGCCTTGGCTTGGCTTCCATATCCACTCCGGGCCTGGCCTCTCACCTTCACCCCTCCCCTTCTGCCCACCCTGGGAGGGAGCACCCTGGGGACCCATCTCGTTCAGGGGCCCCTTCCTGCCGTTCATGCTCTCCCCGTACAGGCCTCTGTTCTGCCTCCTCTCTGTAGACCTCACCCACCCTAGATGTCCCCTCCTCCTCGAGTCCCCCCACCAGTGATTTGTATTTCTGTCATCCTGGAATGCGGCTGTTCTGGCTGCTTTGAAATGATTTCTGTCCCCTCCAGGCACGGAGGGCAGAGCCTGTGAGTAATTCATCTTTGCATCCCCAGTTTGTGGCTGGGTGATGAGCATCGTGCAGCAGCCCCTCCCTGCTGGATGAGTGAGTGGATTGGTGAGCATTCTGTGGTGCCCAGGTGCCTTCTCATCCCTCACTTTGCTGAGAAATCCTACCTCCGTAAACCTGGGGCCTGTGAGTTTCAACGGCAGAGCCAGGACCAGAAGCCAGCTCCTGGGACTCATGTCTCCCAGGGAGCCACAGTGCTGGCTCTGGTCCCCCCGCCCCTCTCAGGCATAGCCCACTGTCTACGTTTCACCCCTGCCCCCATCTCCAGGGCCCCAGAACTCCTTCTGGATGGATGGGTGGGCAGGCTTTGCAAGTTACCATCTACTCTGCCACCCTGGAGGCAAAGACAGCGGAGACTGTGGGGGTAGCAATGGGAGGTTGGGGACCACAGGCCCTGCTCAGGCGATTCCAGCTCTGATTTTTGGGACTGTGGGCCGTGCCACGTCTGAGGCGGCGGAGCGCACCCCAGGGCTGAGGAGGAGATGCATGCAGGCTGACGTCGTGTTCCTGTGCGGAAGGGCTTCCAGCTGCAGCCCAGCTGTGAGCAGAGCAGCCATTCCCGGCTCCCAGAGGCCGGGGCTTGCTGTGCCCTCCCACAGATGTTCCTGGTGCCCAAGGGATGACCCCTTGCCACGTCCCCTTCCTGGAGCAGGGAGAGCTACTGTGGGCCGGGGGGGTGGGGTGAGAAGGGGGTGAGTGTGAGGCGAAGTGTGCCTTCACTCTTCAAACTTCCCTTCCATAGCGTGCAGGGGAGGGTACAGGCTGGGTGACATGTCTATGAGGGGTGGGCAGGGTGCCCTGCAGGAGAACCAGGCTGTGCATGTCCTGGGCCTTATCCCCTGGCCTGTGGCTTGTACCCTGACCCCCTACACTGTGGAGAACCTAGAAGAGACCCTCTTTAGGTTCCCTTCCTCCTGAGCACAAATCTCCCATACATCTTCTGTTAGCAGGTCACTCATACCCTGAGACCTTCTGTGGCTCCCCAGTGCTGGAGCCATGATGTGCAGCCCTGGCTGTAGAGAGTCTCCCAGAGAGCTTTTGACAATCCCGATACCCAGGCCACGCCCTGCTGAGGCTCTCATTGGATTGTTCTGGAGGGGACCAGGCATCTGCGTGTTAAAGTTCCTCACGTATCTCATTGGCAGCAAGGTTGTGAACTGCTGACCTGGGGATAAACTTTCTAGGTGACACAGGCGTCTTCCATAATGGACCCAGCCTGGCTCCCCTCCTGTCCCTGCTCATCCTCCCTCCAGCCAGGCCAGCCCCTGTCAGCCCCCACACTCCAGGCATCGGCCTCACCTCTGTGTTTCCCCCATCTGGTGCACATTCTGTCTGTAAATCCACCAGGCCCTCGCAGCCCAGCGATGCTCCCACACATGGCCTGGTGCCATTTTCCATGAAGATGCTCAGGCTTGCTTGCTTAAAAGATCCATGCTCCACAATCCCCTGCACCCATACACCCTCTCCCTCTCCCGAGCCGCTTCCTCTCTTGCTGCTTCTCGGCCAGGTGGCCTCTCTCTGTTACCTGTCCCCAGCCTTGGAGAGGGTGAGGGCTGGGGGTCTGAGGGCTGTGTGCATACCCCTTTCACTTTTGGAAGTCTCTTGGGGACATGTTGGGCTCAGAGGCCAAGATGGGGTTTCTCCCCTTCAAGGCTGGAGGATGAACTCACCCACCCAGTAGGCCCAGTGCCGGGGTGGGTGAGAGGAGGTTGATATGTGTCTACATGGCAGAGCCTCAAGAACGTAGCCTCGATGACCCCTGCCATCAGCCCCCTCCCAAGGACACAGGTCAGAGCCCTCATACACTCCCTGAGGGAGCCCTGAGGGCCTGCAGAGAGAGGAGTGAAGCCTTTCCTCTGGTCCTTGGAGGATTGGGTGTTGGTAGGAGGTGGCAGTAAGGGTCCTTCCACCCTGGGCATCGGTCCTGGGCATGAGGTCCTGCAGGAGGGCCTCAGCGCACCTCAGGCACCATGGAGGGTATCTGCAATGAGCTCTCCTGCTGTCCTAGTTTACCCCAGAATGGGACAGCAGTTGTGATTCTGTGGCAAGGAAAGGGTGGCTCAGGGAGGCCAAGAGGCCTGCCGTGCCTCTCAGGTAGAAGTGGGCTCCTGACCCACGGCCCCAGCGTGCTCCATTGCTTGTCCTGTAACCCAGCTGGGGGCAATGCCTTCAGCTCTGAGACTGAGTCACCCTGCCCTGGCACTCAGGGCAGCAGGGTGGGATGTTTGTTTGTTGGGGGGCACAGATCCCCCACACTGACCCCACCCTGTTCCATCCTCCAGGCGAAGGCAGCTAAAGAGGCACAGGAGATGCGGAGGCTGCAGCTGCGGAGCCTGCAGTACCTGGAGCGCTATGTCTACCTGGTTATCTTCAACGCGTACCTCCACCTGGAGAAGGCCAGCTCCTGGCAGAGGCCCTTCAGCACCTGGATGCGGGAGGTGAGGGGAGGCTGAGGCCAAGAGGAGCCGGGGCAATGGCTCCTGCAGATGGAGCTGCATCACAGCCACGCAGGGCCTGTGCATGGCCTGCGGGGGGGACCTTGTGACAGGCGGGAAGAGCCCTCATCCTCCATTCTGCAGGAGGCTTCCGTTTGGCCAAGAGTTAGTCTAATCTGACTTTGGGTCCCCAGCAGCTGGTCTGAGCCTGGCAGACAGTTGATAAGTTTGATGAATGAACGAATGAATGAGGAGACGAGAGGGGATGCAGTGGTGGGGGACGGAGCAGGGCAGCATCTGGGGCTGGGACCCTGTAGCATGCATCACTACAGCCACCCAAGTGTGGATGATGGCTCTGGGCCCACCTGGGCACTTCATGCGCTCAATTGTGGTCCACCCTCACCTGTGCTATGTGAGGGGCTAGGATGAGGCTGTGGTGGCCGTGCCCTTTTCTCCCTCCAGCCATGATCTTGAACCAGTGAGCCAAGCCCTCCGCAGCTGCTGACCTCAGCACTAACATGGAGGTGATGTGGATGCTGTTGGTGCCAGTCCTGAAGGCTTCGATGGGGACTCTGGGGAGACATGCAGTGCCATCTGCTGGAGCCTGTGCTGGGCAGGTCTAGCACAGTGTGATTGTTGCTCTCCCATTTTACAGAGGTGGAGACTGAGCACAGAGAGGGTGGGTGACTTGTTCAAGCTTGGCATGAGGGCTAAGACACCAGCCTCGCTGTCTGCTCTCCTGGCTTTTCTTCTGCCCAGCTGTTTTAGAGGCAGAGCTGCCACCTTGGCACCTCTAGGTCAGAAGAGAGGCCTTCTTCCCTCTTTGGCAAAACAGCCTGTAATTACTCCCCTGTCAGGAAGCTGGCTCCTCCAGACCTCACCAGCAGGTCCTGGCAGTTCTAATCTGGACCAGAGGCTGGAATTAGCTCCTGGGAAGTGGGTGGGTGGAGAGCAGGGGCCGGTGACCCGGCTGGAGTGGACACAGGAATGGTACGGGGGCAGAGGCAGGTGTGAGGGGGACGCAGAGCTGTGAAGGAGCGGAGGCAGAGTAGGGCTGCCGAGGGCAGGCTTTAAGGGTGGGCCTCAGGACGTCAAGTGGCGAGGCATTTGAAATGCCCCCGGTGCATGTGATGCGTGTGGAGTCAGGAGGCCTGGGGGGGTCACACCAAGGCCATGTTGGGGCCAACCTCCTGAGCAGGCATGGGCTCAGCTTCCTCTTGGAGCCCCTGGGGAGGGGTAGAGGTGGAAGGGGACAAGGACACTTCCTGCTTGGGTTCTGCTTGGAGAGTGGAAGTTGGGGGAGCCCGGGGCTGGGAGGAAGCTTGATCCCCTCCCCAGCTGAACCCCCTGTTGGGGACATCAAGGAAGGAGGGCTGCTGGTCTAGGCAAAGTGTGGGTTCCAGTCTCAGGGGACCTCAGCCCCTCTCTCCTGTGGGTGAGTGGTGGGTAGCCCCAGAGCCAGAGAGGGATGGACCCATCCCTTTGTTCTAAGAGGAGGTTGCATCCCCTGCCCCATGCCCAGGATGGTGGAGAGACAAGGGGCCTCGTTGTGGGATGGTTTGAGTCTGGCACCAGGGTCTGGGCTGCCGGGCAGCAGAGCTGAGTGTCCAGGGGGGCCCCATTCAGCCCACCTGGGGCGGAGGCCGTAGCCTTGCCTGGCCCTGCGTCCATGCCCTCCTCCAGCCCTCCCTGCAGGCCCCACTCCTGGGCGTCCACACGGGAGCATCAAGCTGCACAGGGCCCAGCGTGTGCCTGGCCTCTCGCTGCCCTCTGCGTGGAACACTCAGCGTCTGCCTGGTGCTTTCTGCACATGTGGAGCCCTCTTCCAGGCTGTCCTATGAGGTGGAGCCTTTTCCTTAGGAGGAAACTGAGGCTCAGAGAATTTAACAGAAGTCAAAAGTGCAAACTCATTTAGGTCACCAAGTTCACGGGCCACAGACTCAGCTTCAGAACTCAGTGGCCTGAGTGGCTCCCCTGATACACTGCCCCTGCCTCTGCTCTCCTCCCAGGTGGCATCGAAGGCTGGCATCTACGAGATCCTCAACCAGCTGGGCTTCCCCGAGCTGGAGAGTGGGGAGGACCAGCCCTTCTCCACGCTGCGCTACAGGTGGCAGGAGCAGAGCTGCAGCCTTGAGCCCTCTGCCCCTGAGGACTTGCTGTAGGGGGCCTTACTGCCTGTCCCCCACCCACAGGGCCCCACGCAGGCCTGGGGTGTCTGAGGTGCTCTTGGCTGGGAGTGGTCCCGGGGGTTGCTGGCCTTGAGGAAATGATTCCTCCGCTTCCTGGAGAGACTGAGTGGAGTTGGGAGCCTTTTTGAAAAGAGCTTTTTATAGGACAAGGAAACAGCAGTCATCCCTCACAAACCACGGGGGTGTGTGGCTGGCCTCCAGGGGGGCTCTGCTGTGTGCACCTTGCAACAGCCTGGTGATCGGCCTCCAAGGAACTCACTCCCATAGTTGCCAAACATTGTGGATCTCTCTGTCCTCTTCTCCCTGCTCTCAGATTGGCCTGGCAGCCCCTGGCACAGAGCAGACTCGGTCACTGGTAGCTCCCCATGTCCTTACTCCTGCTGCTCTGCCATTGCTGCTCCCCTTCTTGCTGCCCGAGCACTGCCCTCGGGCCTCTGACAGCCTGAGGGTGGAGGGGACAGTGTTCTGGATGGATCTACTATGTGGAAGGCAGCTTCACTCAGTTTTCTGGACTCTCATGTCCCTATCTCCAACCTAGTAGACTTCAGGAAGGACAACCTGTGTGGCCTGGTGGGGCTGGCAGGAGGGTGGAGGTTTCTCAAGGAGCCGGAAGCCTCAGGGAGCCCCTCTCAGGAGGAGGAAAGAGCTTCCAGAAGGCGGACGCAGCACAGTGAAAGAGGCCCGCTCCACTTGCCTGGGAACCTGGAGCTGCAGGACCCACAGCACTTCTCCCTGCCCCGGCAGCCCAGGATGGCCTGGTGCCCCCACCTGCCACAGCAGGAGTCCCAAGAAGTGCCGGCCAAGGGCGATTGCTGGGGTAGTCCTCATGGACAGTGAGGTGTGCAAGGGTGCACTGAGGGTGGGGGAGGGAATTATCTGGGCTCCAGGCCGTCCTTAATGAGCATCTTTGAGCTGCCTCCCAGTGGGAGCTGAAAAGGCCAAACCCTGTTGAGTTAGAGGCCCCTGGGATCCACTCTGTCCACACAGCAGGAAGGCTTCTGGGCACGGGCGGCAGAGAAGTGCCGTGTTTGAGTTGAGCCCTGCAGCTCTTCCGGCTGGGGACTGGCGCTTGCTGAAACCCAGGAGCTGAGCAGTGAGGAGGCTGTCCACCTTGCCTGGCTCACTGGGACCAGGAAAGCCTGTCTTTGGTTAGGCTCATGCACTTCTGCAGGGAAAGAAACAAAAAGAATGTGTCGTTGTCATGATATTTGAAAATGGGAGGAGGCTGAAGCTGTTCACATTTACCCAGTATTGGAAAATATTTGACCCCCTTGGCTGAATTCTTTTGCAGAACTACTGTATGTCTGTTCACTACCTTTTCAGGTTTATTGTTTTGATTTTTGCATGAATTAAAATGTTTTAATTTTTTTGCAGACAAGCTGTAGATACAGAGTCAGAGATGGGATTGAATGGGGAGGTATTCTTTGTGTTCTTATGGTTGGCTCTGACTTTCAGCTGTGCTGGGACCACTGGCAGATCACATCACCTCTCTGCCTCAGTTTTCCCATCTGTAAAATGGGAGACTAATACTTGCCTACCTACCTGCCTACCTACCTCACAGAGGTGTTGTGAGGATTTATTCGTGATTTTTTTTTTTTTGTACAGAGCTTTTAAGCATTAAAAACAGCTAAATGTGAGTACACCTGGCTACTAATTCATCTTTGGTGTCAGACAGACGTTGTAGAACTGGTATGACAGGCTGGGGTCCCTGCCCCTTCAGAGCAAGGTTGGGCCGGCAGAGTGAGCTGAGAGCACCTGTTCTCGGTACTTCCAGCTCTAGAGCAGGTGGGTTTTTGCAGACACGCATACCCGGTTGTGCCTCGAGGTCTTATGCTGGATGCCCGGGACTATCAGGCTGAGCTCCTCATTGAAGAAAGCAACAGAACCAGCAAATTCTCACTAACGTATGAAGGACTGATGCATCTAGGGAAACGGCATAGAGCAAGGTGGAATTGGGGGCCTGTGAGGGAGAGTGGATCTCAGCCTCCACTATCTCCCCAGACCCCGTGGGCCCCACCTGACCCCTTCGGGCCCCTGGTTGACTGAGCACACCCCACCCCTGGTTGAGATGCTGGCATTTAAAGAGGCAGTGGGGAGGGTGGGGTAGAAAGAACACTGACTCCAGGCCTCTCCCCCAGCACTCGCAGGGTTAGGGGAACAAGGTTGTAGTTCTGAGGTCAACTGGGTGGGCGGAATGGAACCCAGATCCCCCACTGCCCCTAGGGTTGGTGTTCTCCCCAGACTAGGAGAGAAGGCCCCCGGGGGTTCTTTCCCAGCCCAGCAGGGTATGGAAGTTGTCTTCTCTGGGTGCAAGAATGCACTGCGTGGCTTCTGGACATGAGTGTAAAGCTGTACACATCGGGGTGGGGCTGACTCTGCAGTTCTCTCACTGGGATGGGGGAGGGAATGGGTGGGGACAAACAGGAGTCAATGGGTGTGCCTGTGTGTGTCCCCAAATTCCCCTGGATCTGCTCTAGCCTGTGGGAGGGGGCCTAGCAATGACATGAATGGCACTGTACCTCCTTCTGGTCAGCAGCACCTGAGCCCTCCTGTTAAATGAGTGAACCCAGCACAGCAAAGGAGTCATCCGTAGAGTTAGGGAGCTGCCAGGTAGGAGACGGCATTCACAAACCATCCACCTGATAAGGGGCTAATGTCCCAAATCCATGGGAAACCCAAACAATGCAATAGTAAAAAAAAGCAAGCACCTCAAAAGAATGCACACAAATGACCCACAAGTATATGAAAGAAATGCTCAGTATCACTAATCACCAGGGAAATGCCAATGGAAGCCACCTCACACCCATTAGGATGGCTATAGGAAAACAGAAGAGAAAACCGTTGCACTCTGTTGGTGATGTTGTCGGTTAGTGCACACGTTTTGGAAAACATTGTGGGGATTCCTCAGGAAACCAGAAGTAGGACTGCATATGATCCAGCCATCCCCACTCCTGGGTACACATGCAAAGGAAAGGGAATCCATGTGTTGGAGAGGTGTCTGCACCCCATGCAGCATTATTCACAGTAGCCAAGACAGGGACAGTGTGTCCATCAGTGGATGAACGGAAAATGAAAATGTGTGTGTATACAATGGGATACCATTCAGCCTTTAAAAAGGAAATCCTGGCCAGGCACGGTGGCTCATGCCTGTAATCCCAGCATTTTGGAAGGCTGAAGTGAGTGGATCACTTGAGGCCAAGAGTTCGAGACCAGCCTGGTAAACATGGTGAAACTCTGTCTCTACTAAAAATATAAAACTAGCTGGGCTTGGTGGCGGGCGCCTGTAATCCCAGTTACTCGGGAGGCTGAGGCAGGAGAATTGCTTGAAACCAGGTGTGGAGGTTGCAGTGAGCTGAGATCGCGCCATTTTACTCCAGCCTGGGCAACAAGAGGGAAACTCTGTCTCAAAACAAAACAAAAACAAAAACAAATCCCGTCATTTGTGACATGAGTGAACCTGGGGAACACTATCCTAAGTGAAATAAGCCAGGCTCAAAAAGACAAATACCACATGATCTCATATATGGAGTCTAAAAAAATCCAACTCAGAGTAAAAGGGTGGTTACCAGAGGCTGGGGTGGGAGGAAGTGAGGTTGAGGAGATGTTGGTCGAAGGTCACAAAATTTCAGTTAGAGTAAGCTCAAGGGATCTACTGTATATCATGTTTACTACAGTTAATATTATATATTTAAAAATTGCTGAGAGATGATTTTAAGTGTTCTCGTAACTTGGTAGCTGTGTGTCAGCAGATAAGTGTGTGAGACAATGCTCACGTCGAATATCTTAGCTTCTTCACAATGTATGTATACCTCAAGACATCCTTTTCTATGCCATTAACATACAACTTTTACTTAGCAGCTCGTTTTAAGATACCATGTAGTTTGATCTTTCCTCTGTGTTAATCTAGTGATGTTTTGATGCATTCTTCATTATGTCTCTGTCTTAAATACTAGTACATATTGCTGAATTATAATCATAAAAAATGAGTTAATGGCCGGGTGTAGTGGCTAACGCCTGTAATCCGCGCACTTTGGGAGGCCGAGGTGGGCAGATCACAAGGTCAGGAGTTCGAGACCAGCCTGGCCAATATGGTGAAACCCCGTCTCTACTAAAAAACTACAAAAATTAGTCGGGTGTGGTGGCAGGCACCTGTAGTCCCAGGCAGAAGAATCGCTCAAACCTGAGAGGCGGAGGTTGCAGTGAGCTGAGATGGTGCCACTGCACTCCATCCAGCCTGGGTGACAAAGTGAGACTCTGTCTAAAGAAAAAAAAAGAGTTAATACACATCCAACTTTTAGGACAGTGCCTGACGATGCCTATGAGCACACGGTCAGTTTTAGCTGACTTAGCCCAGTCGTTCTCTCCGAGCTCTGGGTGCTCAGAAGGAGTCCCCCATTGACGTACACATATGGTCACTGTCAGTGGCATCCTCACTGCTTCCAGGACTTTGGACATCCCTCACCCCACCCCCACCGCCATTTCAAGTGTCCAGTCTGTGCGGCGTCAGGTGGGATGAGACCCTGAGTCTGTGCCTACTTTCAACCAAGGATCTGCCCTGGTCCCTGGTTGAGCCTCCACCCTGTCTTCCCTGCTGCCCTGGTGGAGACCCTGTACCCCAGGCTAGCAGCCTTGATATGCCTGGCTCCCACTCCCTTAAGATGTGTTCTTTCTTGGGAGCTCCTCAGTCTTTTTTTTTTTTTTTTTTTTTTTGAGATGAAGTTTCACTCTTGTTACCCAGGCTGGAGTGCAGTGGCGCGATCTAGGCTCACTGCAACCTCCGCCTCCTGGGTTCAGGCAATTCTCCTGCCTCAGCCTCCTGAGTAGCTGCAATTACAGGCACACGCCACCACGCCCAGCTAATTTTTTGTATTTTTAGTAGAGACAGGGTTTCACCATGTTGACCAGGATGGTCTCGATCTCTTGACCTCGTGATCCACCCGCCTCGGCCTCCCAAAGTGCTGGGATTACAGGCGTGAGCCACCGCGCCTGCTCCTCAGTCTTTTAGGGGTCCTGTCACACCAGTTTGCCCAGACTAGGCAGGCCTCAGCTGGGTCCACCCGGGACGCACACCCCTGAGCATGGTGATGAGTGCCCTTGGTGTTCTGTGTGTAAGGGGACACATGCAGCGGGGAGGTATGTGCTTATGGGCAGTGGGCAGTGATGCAGCAGATCATGGCAAAGTTGGATGTCTACATAGACCAGGCACCATGCCAGGAACCAGGGAGCTGTGGAAAGGGACAGCCTGTCTGCCAGGAGCTTGTGGCATTGCAGGGACGAGAGAGAATGAACAAGTCATTTCTGCCAGGTGTCATGAGAGCTAGAGCGGAGCAGGGTTTGGAGGACAGTGGTGTGTGATGGGTCAGAACCAGCCGGGACCCCACTTCCATTGCTCTCTTCTGGAGCTTCTACAACAAGGAACCAGCAATGTTGTGGACCCAGGAGTAACCAGGGGGCTTGTGGTATCTGGGGTGGGACCACCACACCCCAGATACCATGTAGCACTGATGGTCTGAGCTCTTCTCAATCTCTGTGCCCTCCCTCCCATCCTTTAGCCAGACTTCAGATCTGGCCAGACTCTGAGAAAGGGGCCCGTCCGCAAAGGCCCCTTGCTTTCTCTGCTTGTCACAAGAACCGGTTTTGGATGAGCAGGAAGAATGAAGCCGCCCACTGGCCATCGCCTGCTTGGTCCTTTCCTATGGTGTTCAGTACAGAAACCTCAAACTTTATCTGCAGAATTGGCACACATGTATTGTAACCGATTTTCTCTTACAAAAAGCTGTTCATCTTATTCACACAAGTACAGGGTAACCATCCACTAGTTGTGAAAATTCAGCCAGTATCTTTGTCCCTCTCCCTGTTCTCACGCCCACTCCCTGGGTTCTGGTTTTCAAAGGTATCGTTGTGACCCATGCAGCCCTGTGGGCGGCTGGGCATTTCTCTTCTCTGTGCTGTCCCTGGCTGTGTAGCATTCCCCCGTCTGCTTCTCTGACAACCTAATACTGTGTGCCACACACACCCCTTTCTGCTCAGCCAGCAAGAGTGGTTTCGGCATCCACCCACAAAGTGCAGGAGTTCAAAAGAGCTTGGGTAAATCACACTGCCTCTCTGAGACACAACGTCCTCAACTGTAAGTGGGATTAAAATGCTTATTTTGGGCCAGGTGTGATTACTCATGCCTGTAATTCCAGCATTTTGGGAGGCTGAGGTGGTCGGATCGCCTGAGGTCAGGAGCTCGAGACCAGCATGGACAACATGGTGAAACCCTGTCTCTACTAAAAATACAAAAATTAGCTAGGCATGGTGGGTGCCTGTAATTGCAGCTACTTGGGAGGTTGAGGCAGGAGAATCACTTGAACCCAGGAGGCAGAGGTTGCAGTGAGCTGAGACTACACCACTGCACTCCAGCCTGGGTGACAGAGTGAGACTCCAAAAGAAAAAGAAAAAGAAATGCTTATTTTGTAGGGTAAGTGGAAGGATCAGAGTTAATGACTGTGAAGTATCTGGGCCTTACACACAGCAGGCACTCACTGCAGGAATTGTCTTGTTTTCTGTAGTTATTAGGAACCCTGGAGCTAATTGTCTTGTTTTCTGTAGGGCACGTTATTAGGAGCTCCTCAGACGGACTCCAGTATTTGAGTTA